AGCCACATGCATGCTGGAGCCACGTGAGTGCCCAGAGCCACACAAGTGCTAGCGCCACGTGAGTCCTTGGAGCCACGTGAGTCCTCGGAGCCACGCGAGCCCTTGGAGCCACATGTGTGCTGGAGCCACGTGAGTGCCCAGAGCCACACGAGTGCTAGCGCCACGTGAGTCCTTGGAGCCATGCGAGCCCTCAGAGCCATGTGAAAGTTGGGGCCACGTGAGTGCTGGAGTCACAGGGGCAGATGGAGCCACATACGTGCTCGGAGCCACGTGAGCGCCAGAAGCATGGGAGGTCCACGGAGAGCCTCAAGCAAGGGGAACTCACATCTATGTGGGGGGGCCCCCCTCCAGCTCAGCTTCCCATCCCCAGAGGAAAAGACAACTGTGGTTCTCAGCAGCAGTTGCACATGACACTCCCCACCCCGCCGCCCCCCACTGGCTACTTTTCTTAAACATGGAAGTGAAATTCATATGCTGGAAACAGAATGATTCAGCAGCGTGTGGCACATTCACGTGGTTGGGCAACCACCACCTCTGGTTCCAGAACATTCTCATCCCCCCCCAAAGGAGGCCCCAACCCCATGAGCTCTCATTGTTTCTGCCCCCCACACACCCGATGTGGCCATGGTGTCTGCTTCCCTCACCAAGCACCACGTGTCCATGGTCCATCCACACTGCACCATGTGTCCTCTCTGTGGACAATCCCTATTCTATTGTGCGGATGGGCCTTCAGTGTATTTGTGCATCAACCACGAACGCCGGGTCGTTTCCACCCGGAGCGCTTTTCAAACACTGTGGGTCTACCACAAAATGGGAGCCCAGGCTCAGCCAGGTCTGGAGCTAGAACTGCGCCCCACCAATCGCACCCCCGTGCCGTTCCAACCCCACGGACATGCTCCACAGCATGCATCACAGCTGTGCCCCACGCAGGAGTCTGCTCTGTAACAATGGACCACAGAACCCACAAAGAAGCCGGAGGTCAGTGCAGCGTCTGGGCTGAAAACCCAGCTGCCTTTCGTGGAAAAGCACACGGAACCGGCTGCCAGAAGCACGTGGCAAAGCTTGGCACACATGTTACCTCCGCGAGTCTCTGTGCAGTGATGGCTGTGTTGGTTTCAAACATGGTCGTCGATGGTGTTGACTCAGGGAACCTCTACCTGCTGTGCCGAGTGGGACACACGACCACACTGCATCAGCAGCTACTGATGCACAGCATGACACAGAACAACAGGGCCAGGAGGCCCAAAGTGCCCACTGACGCAGTCGCAGAGATGGACGGACAGAGGTGGAGGCAGAGAGGGACAACGTGCAGCGCTGGGTAGTGGGCATTACTCACTCCTCACCCCTAAACAAAAGCAACCACCTCCCCACTGCACAGGGCGGCCAGACGGTCAACAAGCTCGTGCACGTACCCTCAGCAAGTGCCAGCTACGCAGACATCCGGTGGCCGCCAGCAACTCAGTTCCCGCTCTTCCGCAGTAAACCGTGCACAGCGCGTCTGTGTGTGAGCATGGCACGCTGCACACGACACGTGTAGCTCACACTCCTGTGCAGGATGGCACAACCACCCCTGCAAAGCAGAGCCTGGGGCAGGGTGTGGACTCTACTACACGCACCTCAGAATCGATACCACGTGTGTGTACACGTAGGTCCACACATAGGTGTCACATGGATATGTGTGCATACAACTCTATATGTACGCACTTATCTACGTGGGCGTATGTGCACACATACAGAGGTGTGCACACCCATACGCATGTTTATACACATTACACACTTCTCTACATGTGTGTGCACATGCACACACGTGTTTGCACACCCCACATGTTTATACATGCTGTGCGCTTATCTACATGCGTGTGCGTGTGCACACATGCACACACGTGCTTGCACACCCATACCCGTGTTTATACACGTGCACTTCTGTACACCCGCGTGCATATAGGCACACATACACATGTGTGCGCACACCCATGTGCATGTTTATACATGTTATGCACACAGACACAAGAGAGACGACTCCTAAACCTCTTTCCTGAAAGCCAGAAGCAGACCTGTGAGTCACAGCATGCGTGGGACCTGGCTGCCGGACGGCATCGCCCACATGGATAGGCCTTGCTCACCTGGGCGGCCGCAGCTCTTCATGTGCTCCAGGTACTGGATGAGCTCCTGGGCTTTCACCTGGTCCCCCCACCAGTAGGGGATCCCAGGCCACAGCTCCCCATGCCGGCTCACAACGCTTTCCTCCTCGTAGGACAGAATGACCTGCTGCCCGCGTGACCATAGCTGGTTCAGTGTCGGCAAGTCCTGGAGCGGGAGGGGAATGGCGGTGACTGACAGAGGACTTTGGGGGTGTCTGAGAGAGACAGTGGTGGTGGAGGATCAAGGTGTCTGAGAGTCAGTGGTCGTGGAGGATGGGGTGTTTGAGAGACAGAGATGGTGGAGGATCAGGGT